GAGATGTGCCCGGGCTTACCATGCAACATGTGCAGCTGCAGCTGGTGTTTTCGTCGAAGAAGAAGAAATCCCAGTCTTCGGTGAAGATGGCACAGAATACAAGGAGCAAGCCTTCGAGTTCAGTTGTCGATACCATCGAACGAAGCGAGATAAGAAACTTGACGGAGATGCGTTGGACACTGACTCACGAGTTCGAACGGCAGCTTCAAAGCTTCAGCCAGGCGAGACCTGCCAGTTGCAATACTTTAAGGGTGACATCTTTGCTGGTGTTGTGGTTGAAAACCGGCATGACGAGCAAACGTTGCTTATTGACATCTTGCCGAATGGGTATGCTAGAACCTCTCAGAAACACGATCTTGTCAAATCTAAACTAACTGCTTGCAGTGACCGCCTCGAAGTCGAATGGAAATGGCTCCTGGTACCTGATCCGGCCGATTATCGTCTGCCAAAGGCATCTGCAAAGGCCATTCCGATGCCCGCATCCCAGAAGGCCAAGGAGAAGCTCAAAACAAAACGACTTCATGACGGCAAGCCTCAGAAGGATGATCCCTTCGTTGAAGGCTGTACTTGGGCCGAATTTAACATCCACTCTGTCGCAAACAAAGAACAAGTCAAGATCGATTTCTGCAAACCCGATCAAATTTGGTATTACTTGCCTAAGAAATCAACAGACGCCCGCGCCCAATTCACTGAAGATCCTACCAACCCACGTCACAATCCCAAGGGTAATTTTCTATCGACAGTTCCCAAACCTGTCAAACCCCCAAGGCCGGTTCCAGCATATCCTCCACGACAAGCCTACCAGCCTGCCGCCCCTTATCCTGCAGCACGACTCGACAAGCCATATATGTACAAGCCACGAACCCCTGCTTCTAACAATTACCCTGCCATGGGCAACTTCACTACTCAAAGGTTCACGCCAGCTGCCCCTTCGCCCGTTCCAGTCCAGCAATACCCCGGTAACTATCGTTATCCATATGCACAACCTGCACCGGCAGGACAACAACCTGCTCCCGCCTACTCCGCTCAAAGGTTCGACGTTAGGCAATCGCCCGTGTATACACCTCCTGGAAGCACACCTAGGGTGCAGAGTCCTGCGAACACATTGCCACATCATCAGCAGAACCAGTGGCTAGGGAGATATACCTCTGCCCTTCCTGCACCCGTCCCCCCTCACCCCGGTGTAGCCCATCCATATCCACAGCCTTATCAGGCTCCGGCACCTGTGAACCACCACCAGGTACCACAAGCGAGAGAGGCTTTGCAGGCAGACGTATCTATATACCAGAAGTATCCTTTTTTCCAGGTCAACCACAATAGGTACGTGTTAAAGGCTCAACACACAGGCCCTTTGCTAACTTTTATAGGGATTCAACCAAATACCGGACGCCATATGCCGCTTGGGGAGGCTTCACCAACGGATACGAAGGCAACTTGAGGGCTCATATTATGGCCAACAAGGACGCGTATCTGAACGGTACACTGAAGGATAAGAGGTTCCAGGGCAATCAGAACTTCGGCGCCTGTCAGCCCTTACACCACCATCCTCCGGCGCATGGCCCCCATGCGTCTCCTAGGAGCCAGTCTCAGATCAGCCAACAACCAAACTTGAAGCAAGTGCCTACGCCATCTCCAGGACCGGGCACCTCCAGCTTCAGCCAGTTTCCTCGGCCTGCGATAAAACAACAGTATTTGCCTCTTGTGCCTGTGCAAACGCATGCACCCACACAGGCACAAGTACAGGCACCAATGCAGCCCCAAGTGCAGCCGCAAAAGTCTACGCCGAAACCCCAACAGAAGCCTCCGCAGAAGCCTCTGCAAAAGGCTGAAGAAAAGCCGCAGCAAAAGTCCCCACAGACTACCCAGCCCCCTAACCAGAGCAGTAAACCTAAGATTGGGACGGTTTTTAAGGAATACAAGGTAAGTACCTGGAAGTCTCGATAGGAATGAAGGGTCGGCTGAACAGCCAATCCAGATACCCCCCAAAGAGTCGCCAGTGCCGTTACCTGCAAACTTTCTGGCATCAATGGCACCGACGTCGAAGACACCTGCTCCCGTTGCTGCCGGAAAGCCGGTCTTGCAACAAGCCGAGAGCAAAGGCTCACCCGCCACGCCCAAGCCTGCAAAACCGATGCGGGCACCTCAGCAGTCACTGTCGAATGGGCAACCTTTGAACAGCCAAACACTTGGGACTAAGGTCTCCAAGACCCCCATTCCAATTCCGCGATTGCCGGGCGTTGCTTCAATCCCTTCGCCTACAACACAACTTGCTCCCTCGCAGCGGCCAGCAACTGCAGATGAGTCATCTAGGAACCAATGGGCACAGATGGGAGGTCTAGCCTTAGCCCCAACACAACAGCAGGGTGCTTCATCTTTCCAGGATAGCAAGTCGACATCTACGAAATCAAACTTGGTACACGCAACCGATACAACTGCACCGGCGACGAGCGCCTCTTCCAAACAACAGGAGTTTGCAGACGTTCCTGGAAGCGAATCCATGGAATTCATGGACCGACTTATGGCGAGCATCCGTGCAATAGCTCGTCGTGGCGAAAGGGTCTGAGCTGTCACCGACACGGCTAGCTCTGGGCTATGTACTCGAATAGTCTCCTCTATTTTAGCAACTACCTTACCTTTGGGCCCATGGGAAGGCGTTTACGGAATTCAGTGTATATGACACGCATCAGACAAATGGGAGTTAAGGGACATGGAGTGATACTAATATGACGATTAGGTTAGGGCGCATGACGAATGAAAGTGTGTTTATGTAGCATTAGGTGCACGACAGGCGCCCTTAAAGCTGCCAGAAAGTCAACGGAGTTCCAATGATAGGCATGAAGATGCATTGAAGATATGCATCAATACATAGTAGCTTTGTTTCCAAGCCATATTTCAAGTGATTACCGAAGCCACATAACGAGACCACTTTCGTTAGACAACCCTCAGGAGGCAAGAAAACTTAAGACCTCTATTATAAGTAACAAAAAGATTTAGGTAAATTAGTGTAAACTTAGAAGGTCCTTAGATTAGTTGTTTTTGTTACTTAGGATAAAGGCCCTATGTTTTCTTGCCTTCCCTGGACAACATCTCACCAGAGCGTGGGTATCAAGATTCATACCATAAAAAACTAGACTAATTGCCACTAATTCTTTGACTCTTGCGATCTTCCTGCATAGCTGGAGATGGGATGGGCAGATAACTTGGTGATGCGGGAGCTTATTCTATATCTTATATTCTCCTGTGGCTCTATTCTGTCGACGTTGCCTTACCAACACGAAATTCGAAGAGGCTCTTTAATCGGTTGTCTCTTCTTACAAGGTCTTTAAACAACCTTATTGCTTTATTTGAATCCATAATAGCGTGCTTTTCTGATGAGTGTACTGGTCGATAATAGGAGGGTGCTTATTGAATATGGGTTTCTCGCACAGAACCGCATTGATCATGGAGACACTGAGTTACTACTTCAGAGTAAGGCAAAAGTAGGGTTCTTGGGCTCGAATACTATCATATCGTGGCGGACCTAGACACGTGTCATTCAGTCGGAGTATTTCGCTCAAATCGAAGATGAATTCGCTGATACATACTTATATACTAAGCTTCTCAACCACCATGATTGAAACCAGAGAATCATCGAGCGTATCGGTGCGAACTCCAACGATATTGGGCTTGACAAGTCAACTCAAACGCTAAAGGCTCTAGGGCCGTTGTTGTGACCTTCGTCGAGGTAATGGGTCCTGCAGTAGCACCGATTTCTCATGAAGAAACAACAACAGTCGCGTGGTAGTTTTCCGAGGTGTGTGGGCTTCCTAATATCTTGGCTATGTGTTCCCGTTGTGGACATGGTTGAATACGGCGTCGTGTTAGTTCTGGTGTCCCTCTCGAGGAGATACTTGAGGTGTCCAAGCATTTCTGTCTTTCCCTCATTCTTGGAAGAATCTAAGTACCTTTGGACAATTGATTTGCGATTCAAGACAATCTTATACTCTTGGCAGCTAAGCAAGGACAAAATCAATGTTGTTCATAAGGGCCTCGAAATATAAATGCCAATGTATAACCAGGTGAAGCAAGGGCAGAATTCCAATGACTTCTGATCCATGAAAAAACAGCAAGTAATGACGATATGCGCTATCTGTTGGATTGGTAGGTCGGAAATCTGAGAGGTTAGATTGAATGGAGTCATGGTGTTAAAGACGATGAAACTCACGACTTGTGATGAACTTCCATGCTACCAAGTAGATGGTTATCACGCATATCAACAACGGAAGCATTCTTGGTCGTTTCTTTCGAAGTCGACTTGAGTTTGATGCTAGGAGACGCGTTGATTTGCTCGAAACGGAGCTTTGAGACTTGCTATTGGTGATTTCTTGGTATCTGCATTGATAAAAGTGGCTTCAGAGCTTGGTAATGATTGAGTAGTTCGAATACGTGAAAATAGATGATAATTTGTTTGAAAGTCGAGAAAAGATGTAAGTGTTCCAGAGTGAAAGAGATGCATTGTGACGGGGGTACTTACCTGGAATTGAAAAAGGTGAGGTAGCTCTTTCTTAGTGAATTATAGCCCGAATAAGCCAATCTTTGCTCAGACTCGTAATGAAGCCAGAGAAGGTGCTTCCTAGGAAGAAACATCGTAATTGGTAGTGTTGTCTTGTTTCCAAGTGCCCTACCACAATAAGTATATTAGATTCTTATACAATTGAATAAAAGCACTGTATCGCCTGTATTCGCCGAGACTTAATCATACAAGTTCATGGGTCAAGTAAAGTCTTAAGGTATAAATGAGATTTATTGGTTGTTCTTGCAGTGTCAGGCAATGAACAGTTGACACTGTCCTCTCGTCTCTGTGACGCACACCCACTGGGCTGCAGCGGTTACACCACATTGCGATCCGAGTATCTATATTTATCTTGTTCGATATGGCTTTGCCAACTTGTTTCCGTTCTTCCATCCTCACCTTCAAAACCTTCAAGGCTTTCGTGCGAAACACAATAGCATCATTCGCCATGAGCAGACAGGCTTGGACCGACGAGGATGTTCGAGCATCCATTATCCCACAGAAGGAGTTCCCGACATGCTCCTATCGCAGAGGAACTCGTCTGGGCCGAGGTGGATATGCCAACGTTTACAAGGTACTCAACGTCAAAACCGGGGGCCTATTCGCTGGCAAGGTCTCTCCTGAGCACGTCAGTCACCTACGAAAGGAAGCCAGAAACCTGACCAGACTCAACCATGTAAGTCTTTCCGTACTATAGAGTTGAATCTCAATACTGATAATACATATATTTAGTCCCAAATTGTCAAGTTCATCGACTACTGTGAAGACAAGACCAACCCAGCCGCTAACGTCCTCGTTATGGAGCTCTGTGCTGGTGGCAGTCTGCAAGACAAGATCCACGACAATCCCGGAGGTCTTACGCGCAAAGACAACTTGCAAGTCATGCTCCAGGTTGGACAGGCCGTCGAGTACCTTCACGGCAAAGGTTACTTCCATGGAGATCTCAAACCACGAAACATCCTCATCCGATCCTGGTCTCCCATCGATGTTGTCGTCGGCGACTGCGCAGAAGTTATGAAAATCGATCATATCAACTGCCACAAACAGCCTCACGGAACCCGCTCATACTGGTCGCCTCACATCTAGAAGTACTGGAAGCACTCCGGTAAGAGCGATGACATTTGGGCGCTCGGAATCTCACTTCTCGGAATGATGGCCCAGTGGCCTCATTATCTTATGAAGGAGGAGAGAGTCTATCCGCGAAAGTGCGCCACGCACGCGCGAAATCTGGACAAGCTGAATCCTGGCCACGATCTCGTCCAGGTTCTGTTGCGCCTCCTGGAATGGGACCACAACAGGCGAATCACCGCTTCTGAGCTGGTGAAGCTGACGGCTGAGCGTCTGGAGGCTCACCCCAATTTTGTCGAGGAGCTGAAGTCTCCTGAGGGCTTTCAGCCTTTGCAGTTCTGGTAGAGAAAGCTGTTTTCCCTTTTTGGGGGGTTATCTGTTGCCGAGTTGAATCAAGCGTTCATAGATGGGAAATGTTAGAGCGACATCGCAGCGATTGAATATGGACAGAGAACAGCGAATGTAACTACATAACGTAGTACAAAATGAGATTTGTATAGCATTGTGTCCCAGTACTTGAAGTGATGTCTTCAACCCAGGGAAGTCGTTGATATTGCAGCTATTGATCTGTATGTATTGCTTTTGCTAGCGACAAGTTGTTAGTTGAGAACATTTCAGTTCCTTGTGAAGTATTATCGGCATCAGAACTATGAGCCGTATATGTAAGTGACCCTTGTCACGGATATCTGTATGCAGTACTGTGTAGTACTTTTCCGACTGATAGTAAAAGGCTCCGGTCTCGCTATTCTGAAGAAGAGCGGGCAGCAAGGGATAAAGGAGCTTATTGTCGGAACAAACCCGATGCATTCTATCAAGTGCCGTAACACAACCTTGCTTGCATCGAGTTATCAAGCCAATCCCAATAAACCAATTTCAGTGCTCATCATTGGAGCTAATGACGCGATTAGTAGGAGAATTAAACCCCCACAAAAGTTATTAGTCATCACCCAATGCTCCCGGTTACGGCGATGTCGCAACCGCTGTGATACAAGCTACTTGTGGAGAGAAAGACTGCTATTGATCCAATTGTCAAGGCGTGATTCCTCTCATTGAGAGAATTATACGTGAGGGTTTCTGCTACAACTATCGAGGGATCTGACTAATACTGAAAAGGACCCTTTCGTCGCTGTTGATGTTGCGCTCCATATTAACCCCGAGCCGCCCCTCTCAACCCGTGCTCCGGACCACACTCCGAAGCATTATCCCTCTTCACTCATCAAGATCATTCTCAGGCAGTGTCAACGTCATGAGTAACCAGACTCAAAAGCTCAAGCCCGCGGCTCGAGTTCAGGGCCAGAAGAAGGATGTTTGGTAAGATTACTCCAAATCCTGTTAGAAACAACGATAACTAACTCGGCCGAAATAGGTCCATGATCAATGAGGCTGCTGCGTCTTCACCTATTCAGCCTATTGTGAACTTGGGTCAGGGTTTCTTTGGCTACAACCCTCCTGACTTCATCCTTAACGCTGCTAAGGAGGCTTTGGATCGTGTTGAGTGCAATCAGTATGCGCCTGCTAAGGGACGACCGCGGCTGAGGAAGGCCCTCGCGGATGCGTATTCACCATTGTGGGGTCGTCAGTTAGACCCTGAGACTGAGATTGTCATCACTACTGGTGCTAATGAGGGTATGCTGAGTGCATTTATGGGGTTTCTTGAGCCTGGTGATGAGGTTATTGTGTTTGAACCATTCTTTGATCAGTGAGTGCCCTCACTTGCGTATTGGATACTGAGCTAACATTGGTATAGATACATCAGCAACATTCAAATGCCTGGCGGCAAGGTCGTCTATGTTCCCCTTCATCCTCCCGAGACAGGAGCTACAAAGAACTCTTCTGCCGCAGACTGGACAATCGACTTTGACGAGCTCGAGAAGGCTTTCACGCCCCGCACTAAGATGATTGTCATCAACACTCCCCGTGAGTATCACAAGCGTTCCGCTTACATCAGCGCTGACCTCCAGTAGACAACCCTGTAGGCAAGGTCTTTTCCAAGGAGGAGCTACAAAAGATTGCCGATCTCGCTGTCAAGCACCAGACTATAATTCTCTCGGATGAGGTTTATGACCGTCTTTTCTACGTGCCGTTTACTCGAATTGCCAACCTTTCTCCTGAGGTGGAGAAGATCACTCTTACTGTTGGATCTGCTGGAAAGAACTTCTATGCCACTGGCTGGCGTGTTGGTACGTCCAGAGTTTCTAACAAGCCATGGCATTTTGCTAATACATTGCAGGCTGGTTAATTGGCCCCCAAGAGCTCATCCAGTCCGTCACTGCCGCTCACACTCGCATCTGCTTCTCAACACCCGCCCCCTTTCAAGAAGCCGCTGCTATTGGTTTCGAGCAAGCCGACAAGAATGGTTTCTGGGATGAAACCATCAAGGAAATGAAGGCCAAGGTCGACCGTCTCAACGAGGTATTCGAGGAACTCAACCTGCCCGTGACATACCCTGAGGGTGGCTACTTCCTACTCGTCAACATGGCCAAGGTCAAGCTACCAGAGGATTACCCCTTTCCTCCTCACGTCGCAAGCCGCCCTCGAGATTTCAAGCTGGCGTGGTTCCTCATCCAGGAGATTGGCGTCGCGGCTATTCCTCCTACAGAATTTTATACTCCTCACAATGCGCACTTGGCGGAGGATTATATCCGATTTGCTGTGTGTAAGAATGATGATGTTTTGGAGCAGGCTAAGGAGAGGCTAAGGGGGTTGAAGAAGTACATTCAAGAGTAGAGCATGCTAGAAGGAAAGAAAGTTAAAGAGTCGGAGCATGGCTAGATTAGACGGGTTTCGTAGATCTTATGTTCGTTCTCTGAGCCCTATAGTGCAGTTGGTCCGTATGTCTGTGATCCCTTGTATGTGCATGAGTTCGTGAGATAGACGACAACCAGGGTGTGAAGAATCCCCCGGTTGGCCAAGGATTTTCTATCATTATCTGGAGGTCCGTATTATCCTGTCACCGATTCCGAGAAAGAACTACAAGAACTACGGTAGCTCTTTAGAACAGCTTGACAACTGCTTCACATAGTTCACCGCTATATTCTTGAGTTCTATGTCTTGTCTCTGAACTCCGATGTCAAAGTGGAGGATCCCGATCGTGGAACTGGCCTATCGTGGTCGCGGAGCCGGCCGTTAGCGAGCTGCATCGTGGGGTAGAGGCTCTCTTCCCCGCACAAGCAACAGAGGGAACAAGCACTGAGTGGCTGCTGTAGCGGGGGTGCAAATCTTGGCTTATCAGTGGCGATTCGTTAAGCTTGACACGTCCCAAACAGAAACAATCCGCCCTCTCATTCGTTTACTGTTTTGCTATCACAGGTATCTCGTTAGGAAGAGGAAGGTGCCGTTGCACAAGGTCCGGTTGTTTTTGTTAATATGACGCAGGGAAGAATCACAACTTGAACCCGCTATCTAACCCTTGCCGGCCTTCTACAGTACAACCTAAGGGCTACTGTACCATTAACGCCTCGGTTCGTTTGTTGATAAGAGCTACAGAGGCCCCGTTGTCTTTTCTATCTTTTCCTTTTCTGACCGTTGGATTCTTATTCTCTTCCCAACAACCATTTAAGATACCCATTGCTTTCATCCATCACTATCATGGCGCCTAGCGCTGTATCTCCGACGAGGGAGTCCAACCCTGAACCCTTGGCAACCCTAACCTCCAAATTCGATGATACCCTTCGATTCTACCTTAACGGAACCAAAGTCGTTCTGGACGAAATAGATCCAGAGGTCACAGTCTTAGAATATCTACGAGGCATCGGCCTCACAGGGACAAAGCTGTAAGCACTTGTCCCAGCCCCCGAAACCTTCCCTTGTGATACTGACGATGCCAGTGGTTGTGGCGAAGGCGGTTGCGGAGCTTGCACAATCGTGGTTAGCCAGTATAACCCAACAACCAAGAAAATCTACCATGCCAGTGTCAACGCATGTCTAGCTCCTCTCGTCAGTTTAGACGGTAAACATGTCGTTACCGTTGAAGGTATCGGCAGCTCCCAAAAACCTCACCCAACTCAGGAACGTATCGCCAAGTCTAATGGCAGCCAATGTGGTTTCTGTACTCCTGGTATTGTGATGAGCTTGTATGCTTTACTACGAAACAACGACTCTCCTTCTAAAGATGATGTTGAGGAGGCGTTTGATGGCAACCTGTGTCGATGTACTGGTTACCGTTCTATTCTAGATGCGGCTCAAACGTTCAGTGTTGATAAGCCGGGTATGAAGTTTAAGAAAGCAGGGGGTACCGGGTGCTGCATGGAGAACGGTAACGGCCCACCCAGTGGAGGTTGCTGTATGGACAAAGCAAACCTTGACGATGCACCTATTAAACGATTCACGCCTCCAGGATTTATCGAGTATAACCCAGATACAGAGCTTATCTTCCCACCTGCTCTCAAGAGACACGAGTTACGGCCTCTGGCATTCGGAAACAAGAGACGGAGATGGTATCGCCCTGTCACCGTTGAACAGCTCCTTCAGATCAAGAGTGCTCATCCTCAGGCCAAGATTATCGGTGGAAGCACAGAAACTCAGATCGAAACAAAGTTCAAGGCTTTGCAGTACCCTGTGTCGGTTTATGTTGGCGATATTGCTGAGTTGCGACAGTACACTTTCAAGGAGGATCATCTTGAGATTGGCGGCAATGTTGTCTTGACTGACCTTGAGAGTATCTGCGAGCATGCTATCCCTCATTATGGACGAGAACGCGCACAAGTCTTTGAGGCTATGCTCAAGCAGCTCAAGTTCTTTGCTGGTCGACAAATTCGAAACGTCGGTACTCCTGCGGGTAACCTGGTCACAGCATCGCCAATCTCAGATCTCAATCCCGTATTTTGGGCTGCGAATGCTGTGTTAGTGGCTAAGTCGTTCACCAAAGAGACAGAAATTCCGGTTTCACAGTTCTTCACTGGTTATCGAAGGACAGCACTCGCCCAGGATGCGATCATTGCGTCGATACGCATTCCGGTTACCCAAAGCAAGGGCGAATACTTCAGGGCGTACAAGCAGGCCAAGAGAAAGGACGACGATATCGCTATTGTTACCGGAGCTCTGCGGGTTCGCTTGGATGATGAGGGCGTCGTTCAAGAAGCAGCCCTCATTTATGGTGGCATGGCTGCTATGACGGCTGCTGCCAAAACAGCTATGAAATACCTTGTTGGAAGACGATTCGCCGACTTGGAGACTTTGGAGGGAACCATGAACGCACTTGGCCGCGACTTTGACTTGCAATTCAGTGTTCCGGGTGGTATGGCGTCTTACCGAAAGTCTTTGGCTTTTGGATTCTTCTACCGATTTTATCATGACGTTCTGACGATCCTTGATGGAAGTTCAGAGCAGGTCGATAAGGAGGCTATTGACGAAATTGAGCGAGACTTGTCTAATGGAGCGGTCGATGAAAATGCTGCTGTGGCTTACAAGAAGGAAGTGACTGGCAAATCCAACCCCCATCTGGCGGCTCTCAAGCAAACAACAGGCGAGGCGCAATATACCGACGACATTCCTGCCATGAAGAACGAGCTTCATGCCTGTTATGTCCTTTCAAAACGAGCACACGCCAAAATCATCTCCATTGACTACTCGGATGCCTTGGATATTCCTGGAGTAGTGGATGTTGTTGATAAGGATGATATGCCATCCCCTGATGCTAACAAATTTGGTGCTCCGCACTTTGACGAGGTCTTCTTCGCTGAGGGCAAGGTTCTGACCGTAGGCCAACCGATTGCCTTAGTTCTGGCAACTTCTCCTCTGCGAGCTCAGGAGGCTGCCCGAGCAGTCAAGGTTGAATATGAAGATTTACCATCTGTGCTCTCGATTGAGGATGCTATTGCAGCTGATAGTTACCACAACTTCTACAGGGAAATCAAGAAGGGAGATACGGAGAAGGCCTTCAAGGAGTGTGACCATGTGTTCACTGGAACAGTCAGAATGGGTGGTCAAGAACATTTCTACCTCGAGACCAATGCTTGCTTGGTTGTGCCTAAGCCCGAGGATGGAGAGATGGAGATCTTTGCCAGTACCCAGAACGCCAATGAAACGTAAGTCTTATGTTTTCTGCTCTGATAATTAGATACTAACTCTTGATTCAGACAAGTATTCGCTTCGCGAGTTTGCGATGTACAGTCAAACAAGGTTGTCGTTCGTGTCAAGCGACTGGGTGGCGGTTTCGGAGGAAAGGAGTCACGATCAGTGATTCTCAGCTCTATCTTGGCGCTCGCAGCAAAGAAGACCAAGAGACCAGTCCGATACATGCTGTCGCGAGAGGAAGACATGGTTACAAGTGGACAACGCCATCCTTTCCTTGGCAAATACAAGATCGGAGTGAACAAGGACGGTAAGCTTCAGGCTCTGGATTGTGACGTCTTCAACAATGCAGGATGGACATTCGACCTCAGTGCAGCTGTATGCGAACGAGCAATGACCCATATCGATGGTTGCTACAATATTCCTAATGTGCATATTCGAGGACGCTTGTGCAAGACGAACACGATGTCCAACACTGCGTTCCGAGGATTTGGTGGGCCTCAGGGCATGTTCATCGCAGAGTCGTACATGGAGGAGGTGGCTGACCGATTGGGAATGCCCGTCGAAACTCTACGACAAATCAACTTGTACGAGAAGGACGCCCAGACTCATTTTGGTCAAGGTCTTGGAGATTGGCATGTTCCCCTGATGTACAAGCAGGTGCAAGACGAGGCGATGTACGAAGCCCGCCGACATGCCATTACCGATTTCAACCAAACGAACAAGTGGCGGAAGAGAGGTCTGGCCCTGATTCCCACCAAATTTGGTATTTCGTTCACCGCTCTATTTCTGAATCAGGCTGGAGCTTTGGTGCACATTTATCACGATGGTTCTGTCTTGGTGGCCCATGGTGGTACTGAGATGGGACAAGGCTTGCATACCAAGCTCACCCAGATTGCGGCACAAACATTGGGTGTGCCATTGGACAATGTCTTCATCTCCGAGACTTCCACAAATACGGTGGCCAACGCCTCTGCGACAGCTGCTTCAGCCTCGTCGGATTTGAATGGATACGCCATCTTCAACGCATGTGAACAGTTGAACGAGCGACTGGCACCATATCGAAAGAAGTTGGGCCCTGAAGCGACCATGAAGGATCTTGCCCACGCTGCTTACTTCGATCGTGTCAATCTTTCTGCCCAAGGCTTCTACAAGACGCCCGAAATTGGATATGATTGGAATACTGGCAAGGGCAAGATGTTCTTCTACTTCACTCAGGGAGTTGCCGCAGCTGAAGTGGAGCTTGATCTACTGACTGGAACATGGACCTGCATACGCGCAGACATCAAGATGGATGTTGGTCAGTCTATCAACCCAGCGATCGACTATGGTCAAATCCAGGGTGCGTTCATCCAAGGTCTCGGTCTATTCACGATGGAAGAGTCATTATGGCTACGCAACGGTCCCATGGCCGGACATCTCTTCACCCGCGGCCCTGGCGCATACAAGATTCCTGGGTTCAGAGATATTCCTCAGACGTTTAATGTGTCACTTCTCAAAGATGTGGAATGGAAAGAGCTGCGTACGATTCAACGCAGCCGTGGTGTAGGCGAACCGCCTTTCTTCATGGGAAGTTCAGTCTTCTTCGCTATTCGAGATGCACTCAAGGCAGCGCGCGCACAATCCGGAGTAAAGGCTAAGATCGGCGATGACGCTTGTGAGGGACTTCTGCGGCTCGAAAGTCCAGCAACGCCTGAAAGGATCCGATTGGCGTGTGAGGATGAGATTATGCGCAAGGCAAGAGTTTTGCCCAAGGAAGGAGAAAAGAGTTTCTTTGTTGCGATCTAGTCTGATACATGACCTTTCAACGAGGAACTATGAGGTCTAGCAAGGATTTAGGTGTTTGGGATACCTGTTACTATGGAGTCAAGGTTGACATGGTCAGGCACACTTTACGAGTAATATGAAATATCATGTTGTATGAGAATCTTTGACCTTGATGATGGTTGTATGTACGTGCGTCTTGGCCCAAGTAAAAAAGAAGTTACCAACAGAATATGGATCACATCCTATTGGTTGAAATCATCTTTAACCTTCCAAAGTTGTTGACCACGACCTGAAGCAAGCCGTGAATCGCCGACATCCGGAACGAGAGCAACGAACTACATGAATACTTCAACGGTAAGTAGATAATATGACATCAGCGATATAGATAAACGAGGAAAGGATGCTATGCGGCAATTATTATAGTGCAAAATGAGAAGTGATATCACCATCATAGAGTTGCAGTGAAGGAATAATAACACGCAGAGATGCCCCAGACGAGCGATTACTCGATTTGGACAAGTGTTCCAGCCCGCTGTGGGTTTATTTAGCGCCAGTCTTTCACCGAAGGTCAAGGTCAGCATGTACCCTGGGACATCGTACCAGATCGTTTTATAGAAGATCATGTCAGAATGGTCAAGAAAGGGCTCATGGCCCCTGATTGTGCACGGTGTGCTATTATAACTTGAAAGGAATGAAATGGTCTGATTGTTCAAGAGAATGCGATTGTACCTGACTTTGAAATTAGAGGCTGGGGTCAGCAGATGTGAGGACATTGGAGTTCGATTGGAGGCCTGTTTGTCTTATTCGGATATCTCAATTCCACTTCGGCAATGATATGTCCTCCATATAATGCCCTAGATTGAGAAGTATGCACCCCAGAAAGTGAGAAAATTTCATAAAGTACCACTATATAGTGAAATTACAATATATACCTATGTACCTAGGTAACGAACTCTGTATATGGCCCTTCGGCTGAGTGATGTTGCCTCGGCTGCCGGCAGTTGAAAGCAGTTAAACTGGAAGCCAGCTGGTTTTCCACTAGAATATCATGAATCGAGCGGTATGATTAATGTACCAACTTATGTATGTCTGCAGGTTTGAGGCTTTCGGGTATAGTAGTTCTAGACTGTGCTCCGGAGGTACGGAGACTCGCCCGGACCCGCCCCGGCCGCTCGTTCACCGAGACCGGGGGACCACTGGCACCTTCCCTAAACCCTGCCGCTATTCCAAGAGGTAGGTCCAGCCCCCAGGAAGCAAGTCCTTCCCGCTGGTAGCCCTGCCTGGTGAGGGAGGTGCAGTTGACTTTTAGCTCTGGCCCGTTTCTCCAGTCTCTGAAATGAGGAGAAACTTTTCTCTTATTTATCGTTGTTGACTAACAGTAACTAAACCCATGACAATACTGATCTTTTTTAATACTTACTGGTCCTCTTTCACGCTCTTCACGACGATATTCAACGTAAACTGGCTGATCCAAGGCCCACTTCGCTCGTGAGCTGTGCTGCTTCTGCTTCTAGGCGCCCCCACAGTCCTCAGTCAGTGGTGGTCAACCAAGACCAGCCTATTTCGGCCCCAGGCCTAAGCCCAAGGTAAGCCTGGCTCAAACTTCACTGTCCAGGTCCTCGTCAGTCTTTTTGCCTTCTCTTTCGACTTGGACTGCTACAAGCTTCTGGTGTCCCTTGTTTTACCTCTCTCGGGCCAGCCTCGGCTGCTGAGCTATCAATTCATCTTTTCCATCTCGTTGCACTTCCTCGTGCCCTTCAACATCTCATCCTTTCGACCGTTTCGGCTCACACCACTTGCGCAGCCATTTTCCTTCTCCCCTCCCCCTCCACGGGACCAATTCACGCGCGCGCGACTCTCCAGAGAAAAACTACAATCGGCAAACCGACATCCACGCACAGGAACTGCAGAAATCGCAATCGCAATCGCAACAACTAGCCGCCGACAACGTGTGAATGGATCGTGTCGCTTCGGCTGAGCTGTAGACCATACAAGATTGCTGCAGCGAGCCGCAAATGATCTGCGAACCTGACGCCGCCTTGCGTAACCTCGAGATCCAATGGGAGCATAAGACAAAATGACCGACCGGAATGCCGCTACCATGGGCAAGAGCGCTAAGCAGGAGCCTGCCAAAGGCGACGATGGCAAGGCAGTGAGCCGCGACAAGAACTCAAATGCCACTGCTTCTGGCAATCATAAGGCCCCTACCAAAAAGAGACGTAAAGTCAACCATGGTACGTCTTCCTAAGTAATGACACTATTTTTTCTTGCACAGGTTCTAGATGTTTTGTTGCGCATGTACCCATGGGGGTTCGCGTTGGGGTTGGGAGTGAAGGTCATGATACTGGTTGTTGCGATCAAAAGAATCTTATATCAGGACCAATTAACTAGCCAAGCCATCGACTCGTCAATTCCAATTCCAGGGGCAATGTTTAACATGGCGCATGCATCTATCTATCTTAACCAAGAAGAACATTGGGCTGACATCGCTGGGGCGCTTCATTACAGCTTGTGTATATTGTCGACGATCTGTAAGTCAACCCCAAGTCCAACGACGCGCGTTCGCATTGGTTCTGTCTGGACCTTGAGCAGCTTTAGGCGTTCTAAGCAGCCAGTTCATTTGTTGAACTGGACTACTGTGCGACGGCATGGCGCCTATGAGACAAATCTCGTCTAGTTTACCCTTCAGTTTGCATATGTGAGCGTTGAGAGAACTGTAGCTGACAATCTGCTTTCTACGTGCGTCCAGCATATGACTTGCGATCTTGTAAGTACGATCCTAGGCGACCCCTGCTTCCTGTCTTGATAACATGCTGGGACACCTGAGCTGTAGCTGTTGTGTTCTGGTATTCAGGGGAGGGGCTTGCTTTTTACACCTCAAAGCCAAGTCACTGACGCCATGAATAGGAGAGACCATGTACCAGATGCATTAAACGCAATATTGGACATCTCTGCCACGATGAACCTCGCGATGCCGACTCCAAGAAGGCAAAGAGTGTTCAGAGCACTCAGAGCATACAGGCCCCCTCTGTAGTTGATGAATCGGACGCACAGTCTGATATGGCTCGTAGCTCAATCTCTAGTACCATGGGTCCACCTCCTCCAACGTTTGACACGACAAGGCAGCGAGGTTCCAAATCGTTTGGGGGGGTGCTGGGTCAAGGTAGCCCACTGTCCATTGTGCAACCCGGCCAGGTCTCGGGCCTGCAGGGCACTGCGTTGAACAACGGCAATAGTAACGCGAATCAATGTACGTTTTGTGCCCCTTTGTCCTGCCCTGAGAGGGGCATGTCCCTTGTTTCAATTTTTAATCACGAGCGGAGACGGGTGGGCTGAGGTTGGGGCCGCCCAGGAATCGTTCCTGATCTGAGATCGCTGACACGCCACTAGTTGCGGGTTTCCAAGATGCGTGGATGACAGCTCAGAACCATTTTCATGATATGCACAGCTATCACCCCAACTACATGATTGCCTCAGAAGTCACTCACGAGTTCAATCTTCTCAACGATTTCCTCCATACGAGTCTACTCGATGACGGCAGTGTGCCGACAGAGGAACAACAGAGCCCGGCATTCAAGCGGTCGAGCCAGAGCCAGTCGGAGATGCTACCCAGGTTTGGAAATAACACCAACTCCTCTATGGGAGCCGGTGGTTCAAACACCATGTCAAACATGACAGAGGGATCAATGCTGCCACCCCCTCCGAACGTTGAGGGTAAGAACATTCCACGACCGGGAAGCGTTGTGCCCGCCGACAAGGCTCGCGAATACTATCTACAAGCTGCCGACCCATCAGGCAACGACACGCCAGAGGAGCGAATGGCGCGTGTGCTCAAGGCCAAGTACGATGCTGGACTTCTAAAGCCGTTCAATTATATCAACGGTTATTCTCGCTTGGGTGCATATCTCAATTCACACATCACAACAGCGTCAAGAGATAAGATTCTGAGGACCATCGCTCGCTTCCGGCCCGCTTTTCGAGAAAAGGCACATGCTTTGACGGATATAGAACTTGTGTACGTTGAGATGTGGTTTGAGAAACAGCTCATGGACTATGACCGGGTGTTTGCAAGTATGGCAGTCCCCGCATGCTGCTGGCGGAGAACCGGTGAAATCTTCAGGGGCAACAAGGAGATGGCAGAGCTGATTGGCGTGTCAGTAGCTCAACTCAGAGATGTAAGTCTTGCTTGGCCTACACCTCCTCGTGACAGTAGTTTGGTGCCAACCAAAGCACAGGGGGTTTGGCAAATGGATTGCTAACGTTCGCTTACTCTAGGGCAAAATCGCGTTGCACGAAATCCTCACAGAAGAATCAATGGTGCGATACTGGGAAGAATTTGGCACAATTGCTTTCGATCCAGCGCATGAGACCCTCTTGACGGCCTGCTCCCTGAAGAATCCAACCCCTGGGTCAACGCATCCAGTTGTGAAATGTTGTTTCTCGTTCATGATCAGAAGAGATGAGCACAAACTGTACGTATTAGTCACTTGGACTCCATCGTCCTCCCTATACTGACCAATTCGAATAGGCCAGCTCTAATTGTTGGTAATTTCTTGCCGCATGACCCACCAGCACAATAACCATGGGTGTATTGATATATGTATATGCCGTAAGTTCTTGATGCTTCGTGAGAAGAAGCACAGCATGAGTTGTCGCACTTGCAGACGAGTGCTGTAAGGCCTCAAACATTAGTAAGAAAAAGAAAATAGTCGGAACTGGGAACGGCGCTTGGATACATGGTTTGGGAGCGTATGTATTCATTCGCATTACGTTAGACAGAAGATAACAGTTTGAATATTATCTTGATTTTGATATAAGTCTTTGGTGATGGTTTTCTCGTCCCTGGGCACTTGGCCTTTGAAGTCTGTTTTTCGGCTTTGGGCAGCTGGTTGGGTTGGGCTGTTGGAAGGAGCACTGTCATTGCTCCTACCCTCATGCATTCCGCAACGGACTCACATGACTCGGTTGCAAATGCAGTAGGATCTTTTGGATCGAGGTACTCTTTAATTTCTTCTTTCCGTTCATATACCTGATGACCACGGTATTCTCCAAATACACCGCTTCTTATACAAGGCGGCTGCATTCCCCTTTTGCACACCTGTCATGGCGTCGGCTGAAGTATCAACTACTAACCACACCAAGAAGCTCAAGGAAATCATAGGCAAGGATTTAACAGCGAATGGATGTGGCAGACCTTACTGACTCGCAGCATCGGGACAGAATTCGCTACAGATCTCCTTTCCAAGTTGCCCACCTCATGTAACTCGAGCTCAACCGATGTTCTCCTTTCCGACCTGAATCATTACATAACCACAGCCAATGCTCTGGTTGATAACCGCGTTGCTCCTCCGGTAGAAGTCTCCAGAGATCTGAAGGATATCGGGAGGAAGCTATGGAACGAATGTATCAAAGAAAGGAGAAGGAGGGACGACCTCCTGCAGTCCACTGCTAGAACTCAACTGCAGGTCCGTACTCGAGTCCTAGCCTTCTTTGCCCATGTCCTCGCGCGGGAGCATCGACGTGGTAAAAGAAGAGATAATTTGGAAGAATTGATATACATGATGGGCTTGTCACTCACGTTAGCGCGAGTTTGTGTCGAATCATCGGACCTGGACGGAGCGCTTCTAAGTATGGCCAAAGCTGCGGATTACATCGACCGACTAAAAAAGATCGACAACTTGACCACTGAAGATAGGGCGCAGGTGCAAAAGATCGAAGCTGAATATTTGACTATGCGATGTGCTTTGGTGAGTCTTGAAGCAACATTTCTGACGACTTGCTGACCAGCCAAGTCGTGGAAACAGGGCCGTCTCGACGTTGCGGAGCACATGTACGCCAAAGCAGATGACCTCTTACACAATCTCGATCCATCCTCTGCTGAACATTTAGCTGACACGTTCCACGGCATTGGGGGAGACCTCTTGTCGAGGGGCGATCATGAAATGGCTTTGAAGTGGCTCCGGCGAGCACTTGACCTCATAAATGGCCAAGCGCTAGAAAGACTTTCGACAGAAGGGCTGGAGCTTCGTATATCCATCCACCACGAACTTATACAGTCATTGCTCGCCACAGGATCGCAAGATGGACTACAAGAAGCTGAGAATCTAGTTTCGCATGTTGAATTAGAGATCGGGGACAAGCCAGTGGTTCTACATTGGAGACTCGAAATTATTCAACGATATCCAAGCGAAGTCTTCAACGCCGACGCGAGCGCGAGCATACTGCGCCGTATGATACGGTCGCTCGATCTGTCGGACGCTGGGCTCAGCTTTCTTCTGCATGGTATCAGCGAACTGCGAATGAGGGGTCCACGATTGGCGATAGGGCTCATGAATGAGTTGTTACTCAGGAAACTTATGCCGTGCAGTAACATGGATTGGATAGGTAAAGCCATTGTCCGGCGAGTTTGGATGGGCACGATGGAAGCAGATGCGTCTGTGAGCGTAACAGATTTAATCCAAACCCTGGATCAACTCGCTCAAGAAGCTGGTCAGTGTGATGTCGAGGCTTCAACTGCTGCACTTTCTGTGAGTTCAACAACTACATCACACCTGCAGGCATATAACTTACAACAGAAGCTCATTTGGAAGAAACTCGACACTAGTTATTCCAAAAAGCAGTACAAAGAATCCCAACTTTGGTGCCAAGCTGCGCTCCACTCTATCTTTGCGAATAGTGGCGAGGCATGTCAAGGCAAGTTCAGCAGGAGACTGGTGTTGTGCGCTATTGCTTGTAGTGATTCAGAAGCTGCAGTTTCTGCATTTCACTCAATGCCCAGAAGCATCCAGGATGAGCCGCTTACCAGATATCTCATGTTCAGGGTTTCTCTTCTGCACTGGGATCATGACTTGGGTCGTCAATGTATCGAATTCTTGGGCAAATTTACCGAGAGATCTCAATGTCGAGATATACTATATGCGTGTATAAGAGATGCACAGCATGTCGGCGATAAGCTATTGACCTTGGAAGCTTTGAAGGCGGTTGCCGAAACCTTTGATGTTGAAGGCTCGTTGACTATTAATCTGCCATCGATTTTAAGGTGTACGATCAGGCTTATACACTCGCTTGAGTCGCAAGAGGGTAGTGAAGAAGGCCGAAGTTCTGAACTTGCAGAAGAAACTTGCCGAATTTTTGAAAGGGGTAGGTTCTCTCTCACAAGGCTGATTGCGTTCTAACACACACACAGCGGGTGAACACGCCAAATTAGAACCAAAGGATGAGCAAGGTTGCAAAGTCTTCACAGTATCGGAGCTGCACTGGTTTCGAAAGAACGCATACAACATCGGCGTGACAAAGTGCCATGTCTAGGGGCTGTGGCATCTAATCCGCATCTTCCGTGCGTGTCTCGCATTTGTGGACTGTTACCCATCCGATCTTCCTTCGGAGGATGATACTGATCTACGACTGATGTCCGCCCGTTGTCACTTCGTCGTCGCCGCGGCACTTATCTCCCAGGCTCGTACTGAGGACAAGGTAGATGAACAACTGCAGCAGTACCTTGAGACAAGACGGCACATTTCAGAATTTGACGCCCTTTTTGACGCTCATTTCCGAAACGATCCCAAGTCTCAAATTTATCCCGACCTCCTAGCCAAGCTGTCAACGCTTTTTGTCTTTGACTTTGAGAGCGCCGTCTGCTTAAAGAATTGGGACGATCTTAGTCAGATTATTAGAAAGGCCCGGGTTTGCAAAGATGAGATGATGTATAAGGCGATGGGAGATTGCCTGCTAAGGAGCGAAGCTTCAGGAAATGGTACGTATTGACTGACCTCTAGCAGTGCGCATGGAAAACTAATACCAGCAGTCGTATATGGAACCATGCGGCTTATTGTCAATGAGATATTCTCACTGGAAGAATTTGACAATCAGCGACTCGCAAAGTACATGCGTTGCATGTTCCAAGCTATCCTACCCCTGGATGACAACCTTGCTTTCCAGGTTGTGGAACAAGCAGTCCAGATAGCACGCGAAGGAAGCCAAGTAAGTGGTTCCCATCACTATACATTCTTGATTGGGTTCGTTGTTTTTTTTTTTTTTTTTTTTTTGGGGGAGAGCTAACATTTATCACAGATGCAGAAGCCTTTCCCTGCAGAGGACTTGGACTGGATCATTGCAACAACATTTAACCATGCGATTGATATCTTGGCGAGAGGTGATGAGGATCTATGTCAGCAATGGGCTATGAAGGCCCTTGACCTGACCGAGTATATGGATGATGGGGGCGATATGCGAGATATGCTACGTGAAAGAGTTGTCAAGTTGGGCTTGAGCAAAGGGGCGACTACCTAAGCCCCGACATATTCACATTCACAAATGTTCACGCATTTTGCTCTTCGAATTGACACCGGAATATAAATGAAACGGTTTTGATGGGATATTCAAGCTGAAACTTGTCTCGCACATCTTGTGCTACCACACAAACGGTAAATTCGTGTATCCATTATAACCGTTGCAGAAAGTGTACAGCTCTATGGATTATGTCCCAACAACGCCGGGTGCGCCTCTGTGCTATGCAAAATCCTATACTCATCTCATGCAGCGCGTGGTATCTTCGTACAGATTCTTCCCGGGCAGTACTGTACTGCCCGGGAGCAGCTATACGCAATAAAATATCAGGACGCCATGTCAAAACAGAATGCACCAAAACCAGGCTATTTATATGCGCCTTGTTCCTTCAACTTTTGCAGGTGAGCCAGCTTCCAGCACTAGACAAGGAAGACAAGCCTCATAAATAAACATTAAAAAATCGCTTTCATAATTCCCCGCCAAACTCTTTATATAATGTTGGCGATACTCAATCGCTCTTTGCTGGTAGTTGGGGCGGCTGCGCTTCCACTCGGTGTCCTGCTGCCCCCTGCGACAGGACTCACCGCTGTACTTCCCTCGCCCAACTTGGGTATCTCGGAGCCAAAACGCGATACATCACCTAACCTTGGGAGTTCCACCGCTGGGCCAGGCGTCTCGCTCTTGATGGGCGGAGGTAGCGTCCAAGTTGCACTCGAGGGGGTTGGAGTCGTAGCTGGCATACCATCCAGTCCTCGGACAGCAGTCTCAAGCCTTGCCCATCCGCCCCAATCTTTGTTGTCGACTTCATCCAATCCTGTACGAGCCTCAGGACTGAATAGCTCGTTTCTGCTGGCCGAGGCGGGATGCTGAAACGGCGAGGGGGACTGGTGTAAATGGACTTCTCGCTCTAGGCCTGCCCAAAGCCACGAAGCATCAGTTGATGCCTGAAGATCGGCGGAAACGTATACAATCAAATCTTCGTCGCGTGACAACATCTGTAGAAGAGCTGCTTGGTCGATAGATGGCCTTGAAGAACCAAAGTGCGGCGGGGCAGTCCTTGTTAGGTAGTTTGTACACTCAACTCTCTTGGCTGTCAAAGCGGATACAAAGAACGACAAGTAACGGCCGCATGCGATTGTGATATCCCTTTGTCGATCGATGGAAGCCAGTGCTCTCACAGCCGTCACTGCAGGGTCTATGTAGCCTGTAAGAAGAAGGAAGAGCGCACAGCGAAATATGTGCGTGGTCAACAAGGTAGTTGCACTGTCGGCCATGAGGCTTCCGTTTAATCGATGGAGGAGAGATACGGTTTCGAGAGCAATGTGAGTGCAGCTTTCAAGAGAAGCCATCCGAGCCTCGAGGGGGTATCCAGGGTCGAGATGATGCCGATGTAGGAGAAGACGAGCGTGAAATAGGTATGCCAACGGAGCTAGAAAGCCGGGTGCAAGGGGCACACTGCTCGCAGGGTCGCATGCTGGAGGAAAGGTGTTCAGGCATTTCTTCAGATGGGTGTCAAGGGTTGAAAGATGAACCGATGGCATCGACTGTGGTGTCAGTGCTGTAAGAAGCGATGAATACGATCGTACGACATGGATAACGGCGAGCAGAGAGTGAGTCAAAGGTTCCGCTCCCGTAGGTACCAACATGCCCCCTTCGTGGATAAACTGATCGTCAACCCCGGCTGGCAATGACACATCGCAGTCGTCGTCGTTGATCATCACGGGTCGGCTCAGTTCAGTCGCCAAGGTCCTGTCCATTATGTATATCATCCACCAGGTCCTGCGTCGCATCTCTCCTTCAATCACTGGCCATGGCCCTGATTCCACGTGCATGCCGAGATCTTGGGAAACACGGACAGCCCTACCCAGCCACCCCCAAGCCGCTGACTTCAGGTTCATCTCGTTCAGGCAGAGAGTTACTAATGTTAGTGCCCGGGCATGTTCCAGAGTAAAGTCATTAGCCCATGGGTCAATCATCTTGTTGGCCATCTCAAGATATTCGGCAGGTTCGTAAAAGGAGTTTGGCTGAGAGCTTGATGTTGGACTGAAGAGACTGCCAGTTGCCAGGACCGCGAAGAACATTGAAAGCCAAGTGGGGGACATTCTGTTGGACGCATTGCTGTTGTACAGGTCGTTGATAGTAGTTCGAAACGATGGCATGTGTATGATCGGAAACATGGAGTGGGACGAGTTGCAGTAGGCGTGCAGCAGTTGGTCTACCACGTGCCTAGCCGGTAGCTCTGGTCTCGAGGGATCGAAGAATATAGGGGCTCGTTCACGATACTGGGCCGGGAGTTTCCAGATACCTCTCGAGAAGTCGCGTACATTGGCCCTCGCTCTCGCTAGCTCTGGAACTGGTGCCGGTCTCTTTCGTCGCTTCGGTTCGGATCCAATGGCTGGTAAGCTGGAGCTGTTCTCATCACCCCCTTCAGCATCAAGGTCCATGGGCCCTTCTCGATCCTGAAGCATGCGACGCAATCCACTGTTCTCCCTCTTCACCCGTTCCATTTGCTTCTCCAAGTCCTGCACCTGTTTGATAGATGACATACGCCGGTTCGTCTCCTTTGTGAATTGACATTTGACATTTCGACTCGAGCACTCCGAGCAACTTGTCGTCTCGGTTGCGTCACATTTCACCTTTCTTTCTCGACAAGCATCGCAACTGGGGTCCTTCCTTCGCTGTCGATATGCTCTCTTCTGTCCCTGAACGCCTGGTCCTGTTAAATGGGTGGCTGATGGTCCCGGAGTACTGGCCACTGATTCATTCGAAGCGAGTGAATCGTGACCAAGAGAAGACGATGTGGTCATTGGGCCGTACGATTGAAAGCCCTGACTGACTGGAGGTAAAGGGGGGATGCCAATGGGTTGGGGCGTTGCCGGAACATTCAAGCGTGGGTTGGTACTCATGGCCCCTGGCGCAAACTGAGACAAAGATTTGGGGGAAGTTGCAGATGAGACTGAAGACGAGTCGTAGGATCTGTTTGAGAGATTGGGCGAGCGGGCATAAACGTTCTGTGGTGTTGACATAGCTGGATGCCCTCTCGGTGCCCAGCCTCTACTAGGGTTTGTCGAGGAAGCCTCAAAAGGTCCCCCAACGGGATGAACGTTAGGGGGGCGTCGGTCAACGAGCATAAAGGTAACTCTGTTGAACAAAAGCTGCAGGTCGTCAAGTACAAAGTGGGCAAACTCCCGTTTCTCGCTTTGCCCGGAAAGAAGAAGCTAGGATATGCCGTTTGTTTGTCAATTAACCCTGCAACGGAGCCTCCAATCTTTGCCGCCAGTGTCCTAGTCCACAATCAACAGTGTGAATTCGTCTCTGCGAAAGGGATATCTTCAGTGTTGCGAAGCGGTGTAACCCGAGACCTTTTTGCTCCGAAGTAGTTATTCGGCTCATCACCTTGTTTAACACTAGGAATAGATTGCGGGTTTCCCAAACTACAATGCCTGGACCAGGAACGGCTAAGCAAAGCTCTAGGCCGTTACCGTTGTACCTGATAGCACCTCCTTCTAGACTTAGAATGTCTGTTTGGGGTCCAAAGTTCCAGTGGTAGGCGAGTATCTGAGGCTCGGAGTACTGGCCAAGTTAGAACGAGTGACTTCAAGAGCGTTGGCTGTGTGTTGAAGTCGCAGCCTTAGAAACCCGGGACAATCTGTTGTTCTGGAAGGGCCTGCGAGGAAGAAAAGAAAAGGCGAGGCCACGAGGCCGGAGCTGACGTCGTTAGGTTTGGCTCACGGCGACTAGGCTGAGAGAAAGAGGAAATGTACCGCATGGAAGAAGAGGCGCCTGCAGGCAGGTATATCGCTGCTCGTCACTAGCTACCTGGGCGGGCACAACAGCAGCAGCAGCACCGTGTTAGTGGCGCTGGTCCGTGATCCGGGGCTCTCCGCGCGTTAACGCAGATTCGGAAATATTATCTGGGCCAGGCGATGGTAAATTGGGGGGAGGGGTGGCCAGACCCTTGACGAGTTGGCTGAGCAGGGCTGTTGAGAGATCAGCCATGGCCGCTAATGTGTTTCGAGCGGAGACGGGCATCCTGGAATATGTTGCTAGTCATAATCCCAGACCCTAGTAATATATCCATCGATCCAACAAGACAAGTGCTTGTTCCAAGCCAATGCCACCCTCGGATGTCAGAACTCGGGACCGTAGTGAGATCTTGGACCTGATAATCAACAAGGCCCTGTGCGTCAATTGCTCCCAGCTATGCACGGCACGCGGACGACTATAGAGTATATGCCCTCCAAGATTGGTTGGTTCAGTAAGCGCACTATAAGCTCAGTGACCAACGACTGAGTGAGCCATTTCCCGGCGCTGTGCTGACCGATATGCCCGTCTGAACCACGCTTTTCTCGTGCTGAGAAAAGCTTGGTACTTCCGGAGATGCTATGCACAAACAAGCCGGTCAATATTCGGTCATCTTTGCCTTGTGTTATCCGCGATGCCATGTGCTACCCCCGCGCCTAGATCGGCGTGCCTTGTTGTAGTAAGGTCGGTCAGGTATTCGTAGATGAGGCCCAGAAAATTCGCCGAATCTCAACCTCCGGTCTCAGAAACGTTGGCTTGATTTTAATGTATGAAATGCCACTATAATAACCAGATCTATTCCCAGACTCCCCGGACATAATACCTTGCAATAATATGCAACAGAACTGCAGTCAAAGTTCGTATATATCGATCGAACCGAATTACTAACGTGATAGTGACATGTTTGCAAGCGATTGCACACATCAGGGTGTAGTCTCAGAACTGAAACACATCGTCTGTGCGGTCTAGCATGGTTCAGCGGTATCTGGCTACTATCTGACTGCTTGACTAGTGGAGCTCAACCAGTGCTGGACTGTGCAAGGCTCACTAACTCCTGATTCATGGTTGTCATGCCAGATATGTGGCGTCAGCAGCCGATAGGCAGTTTGAGGCCAGGGATAGAATGGTGATGTAGACGGGAACTAGAATAGTCGCTCTCGCGTTTGTGTGCAGTCCGAGCATGTCGATTACAATGGCCCTTGGCCCATTCGAGGCTTTGCGCCGAGCTGGTGGACTGGAATCGTTTGCTGGCCGACTTAGAAGGCTGCAAGCTGCCGTTGGGCACACGGCCTGCCGGAGGGCATGGGTTCGGTCATGATGGTTTCCGAAGGTGCCACCTTGTCCAGGTGTTCGCCAATGGGACGGTTATATCCGCCGCCGTGGGTGGGATGCGGATGACGAATCCCCAGTCAGGGTCGCAGTGGGGATTCGGGCTAGAGCCGAGTGAACCGCCGGGAAGGGAAGGGTTGGACGGGTGGCTCGCCCGGGCCCTATATGGAAGGGCAGGATCTCGATATCTGGTCAGCACGAGGAATGAAAGTTAAAATAAACTGTACCATACAAGCAAGCATATCATTCAGCTAGGACACTAAGGCACTCGGTAGGGAATGCATATTATAGCGTCCAAGGCCTTGAAGAGTTCAAAGATTTCATACTCCACAGGACTGTACAATCATCAATACATACAGTGCTGCGCGGACCATGACCCGCCTTGTATGTAACAGAAGGCAGGGGCATACTGTAAGAAAGCACAGGTCGGCGAGCAACCGGCGTTGGAGATTTGAGTGGCTTGCTCTCTTTAGACATCCTATCAAGTCCACGCCCAAGACCAAGTGAAGTGGGAGAGATGCGGGCCCGCGTCGTATGCTGGTACATCCATACGTATTCTAAAATTCCAGAAGGGCAGAGGCAGTGCTTCGATGCCAGGATAGAGTTGAGACGAGATGAGTTAGTTGTCCAGCCAAGTCTGATCCGTATGCAAGTCAATCCCTACAATTCAGAGAACCGGCGACATGGACATGGACCACAGACAACTGGTTCATATTTAGTGGCGGCAGGGGCGCTTCGCTTTGAGGAGCTGTCACGCGCCTCAAACTAAAAGCAATCCTTTGCGGCGTCTGCCAACGGTCGATTGAAGTGGAAACAGATGGTCCGCCAGCGGAGGCAGCGGGGCCGAACCGGTATACTCTGCTCGGTGCATTGCATGTATCGAGTATCCGTACGTAGTTTGGCATAACAGCAAACGCTGCACTACGAATACTTGGCAGAGCATCGGATCGCGAATTGGGGTGATGAAGGCAAGGTCCTCATTCGCTGCTAACATTTGGCGTGTGCCCTTGTCAAGATCGAGGGGGTGGGGGCCGTGTGGGCTGAGATTCGAGTTGTGGTTTCGGATGCTGACTACCGTAGAAAGGGTGCCATATACATACATACATAGACTATCGTCTTGCAGCAGGGACCACGATCTCGGAGGCGGTTTTGGTGTGAGCTATCGCACCGTATTATTGATACAGTAGTCGGCACTCGCATGCGCGCGAGAGAGCGAGCCATAGATGCAGGCTGAAGCTGAAGCGGAAGCGGAAGCGGAAGTATCTTTTTTGAATTCACAAATAGGAGTTGAAAGGAACATGAAAATAACGTTGTTGGCGGGGGGAATGCATGCCGCGATACAACTTAGGCGAGCCTCAGGTTTACGCTGTAGACAGGGAAGGTAAAGTTAAGGTTGCCTTGCTACAGGGGTCTCACCGTGCGGCACCTGCCGTGTTTCTCTGTTCATACAGTACCCGATGCGAAGTAGCGACTTTCCTTGGGCTTGGGCTTGGGCTTGGTTAATTCAGGAAGGGAAAGAAGATACTCAACCCAGTGTCTCTGAGATGGTTCCTTCTTCGATCGGTCGGGAATTTAGTACCTGCCTATAGTAGATAAAGTTGAAGATTAACTCCTGCCGTTTGAGTATCTGTACATCTCCCTGTGAGCAAACCTACTAACCCATGGAATGGGCAGGAAGGACCATATTACGAACATTTACCTGTATTACTTACCCTATTCCCCTGCTCAAATTTCAACATCAACTAAAAAACTTCCCCTGCTTCATCTGTTGATTCATCAATCCCACTACTAGGTCTACTTCACCGTTTCCTATCTCCCCTCATATTCTCCGTCGGAGTTCAATCCCATTTCTTCAAACGACTCGCCTATTCCATCAGTCTGAGCTTCTTCACCCGGCCAAGAACCTTGCATTTTCAACAGCCACCTGAGAAGAGACGGATTTGGCGATCAAACATACCCGTTGGCACGGATTTAAAGGTCAAGCCTTTGTTTCATCGGCCCGTCCTTCGTTTATGGGCCTTGTCGCCCGGGAATGAGTCGCGCTCTTGAGTATCAAAGTCAGTCCCTGACACGGATAGGACATTATCCAACTCGGTTCGAGTATCACACAGACTCTGCATGGTTTTCAACAAGCGAAAGACCCCGAGTGCCTGAGAGTTGATCAAATTTGACAGCCAGTAGTTGAAGATTGGCCCATCGGGATTTCCTCCTGGATGACTGAATGAGCCTTCACGAACCGCGCGGCGCCGCGCAACGAAACTCAGCTAGGAATTGACTCCAGGGGCTCGAGAGCAATCGGCAAAATTCTTGAGCGATGGAATGTGGCAGCTCGAATCACCACCACCGGCTGCATACATCCGCACTTGTTATTCATTCTTCTTCCTGCCAGCCGTTATAGTCTTTGCCGTTTCGACTGACTCAAAAACATCGAAAGGCAGCTGATGTGGGCATGATTGATCAACATATTGCAATTAGATGTATTCTTGAAATACCTTCTGTCACTTTTCGGCGGTTCATCCTTCCTATTCAAGACGATGAGCTTAAGCCACAAAAACGTTTACATGTCAGGTTAATCACAATGACCAATGATAGAAGACGGATCTGTTGCACCTCACTCTTCAATTGGTTTCGTTGGGGCTGATCAAGACCCACATCTCACTATATCCCGCCATGGGTTTGGAGGGGCTTCATATTCTCCAGTAACCTGGTTTTCGGACTAGGCATACGGTAATCGCCTGGTTGGATACGCGAATTTGGCCTTCAGAACCACGTCAATCCACGTGTTTTTACCGTACGGATCGCGGAGAAAGATTATGACAGTTGGATAAGCATCAAGGCCAAGCTTTTTTCTCCCTCAGCTCGATTACTTCTCACTGGTAAGTATGCAGGCAGC